AATAAATATATACTATTTAAAAATAATATAAAATATAGGGTGACTCGGGTGGACCATTGATTCAGTATGATTTTGATGATAGCCCTCAAAAGGGTGTTAGCGGTCGTCGTTAACGGGCAGTACTAATAGGTGTGACTTTAGGCCATTGGCCACCAACCGAGTCGACGGACTGTCCGTCTAAAGATGCCGGCGCTGGCAATATATTTGTACGCATATCTAAACACATCGATTGGATTATCAATACTGTGAACCCAAAAAAAACACTATCAAATAATAAACAATAGAAAATAAATTATAATATTTTCAATAATCAAATTCACTGAATATTTTTTTTTTTGGTTTCATTCAAAAATTTATAATTTTATAACTTAATTAAAAAATGTTTAATAATCATAACAAAAAATTACATTTTTTATGATTATACTTAAATTATTTTATTATAATATTTTTGTTTTAAATGTAAAAATTATTTTATTTTATATTTGTTTTAATGTATTTTTATGTAGTTAAAAATAATTATTTCAATAAAATATAACATTCAATAAACATACTTAAATAAGTGTTTGATTTTTTTATTACTTTAATTTAAAAAAAAAATCAATTAATTATAATATTTTAGTTGACGTTAGTGTTGTTGTTGTTAGTGTTGTTGTCGTTAGTGTTGTTGTCGTCAGTGTTGTTGGCGTTAGCGGTGGTAATGTTGTTATCATTGCTGTAGTAAACCATTTCCTGGTCGTGAATCCTGTCCTGCAATGTATGGCCATTGCCTAACAAACGCTTCACGTATGTTATGACAATTACCGCACATATAGTGATAGCAATCATTGACATAATTATGAATATAATTGGTTTGATTAGTAGAAAATCCGGTGGAAATTGTTGTGGATTTTTAAATGTTGTTTTCACAGCATCTAAGTTTGAATATTAATATATATATATATATATATTTATAATTAAATTTTTATACAAAAAAATTATATCTATGTTTTTATTCAATAAACTTAACTTACCTTGAATAGACAAAATATCATTAGTTAAATTCATTATACAATTAATTGCTGCAATAATTCAATAGTTAATAAATAATTATTTTTTTAAAATTTAATTAAATTATTAGTTGATTTAGTTTTATAGTTAACAAATCAATAATTAATATAAGTATTAATAATTGTCTCTCTCTCTCTCTAATCAATAATTACTTTTAAATTTCATATAATATATATATACATATTATTAGAAAAATTATTTTTTTGAGAGTTCTGGCAAATTTACTAGTGATGGAAGTTTCCAAATGAAATTCCCAAAGAATTTTCTTAGAAATCATTTTAGTTTAACTGTATTTATCCAAAAACTATAGATTATAAAATTTCTACAATTAATAATACAAAAAAAAAATAAATTGCAAATTAAAAATCGTTAGATTTATTTTTTTCAAAAAAAATTACTTACTATTTAGCAATAATATGGAAAATTTTTAAAACAAAAATTTTTATTTATTAGAAAATTATTTTTTATAATAAAATTTGTGTTAACTATTTATTGATTATGTGTTCAATTAGGATTGAGAAAATAGTTTATATGGCAATTTCCAGGGAACATTGGAATAATAGGGATTATATGGTATGGGATGAAATTTTCTCGAACACTAATAATATTACTAATAACTAAATAATAGACAATATTTTATAAACAGACAAAATAACTAAATGACTAATCATTTATTGTTTATATTTTATCTTTAAATTTGTTATTTTGTAATAATATAATGTAATATTATTTTTATATAACAGCTTTTTTCAATTACTATTATATACTGTATTATATTTTATAATTTATAAACTACATTTTAATAATTAAAATATTATTTTTTTAATTATAATTATATAATAAAATAAATTGTTAGTTATTATAGAATTTAATTATTTTTTATTATAAAAATTTTATTCTGAAAAAAATATTATATATAAGTATTTATTAATTTCATTTTTGTATTATTATTTAACTAAAAATAAATAAAATTTTAGCTTAATAAATATTAGTATAAAATAATAATTAATACTAAAATAGTAAATGTAAAATATAAGCTATTAAAGTGGATAAACATTTTTTATATTTTACTTATTATTATTGTTAAAATGATTGTTTTTTTAAATTAATATTATATTAAATAATAATAATAATACTATTAACAAATATAAGTTAGAAAAATAATAATATATATTTCAAGTATCAAATTAATTTTATTTTTTCAATTTCATATTTATGTTGCCATCAAATTAATGTTTAAATATTATTAAACAATTATTTTTAATCAAAAATGTTTTATACATAATATACTGTATACTGTATATAAAATAAATGTATAAATTTATAAATATTTATGTTTTTTAAAAAAATACATTGAGTTATTATAAACTTTATACTAATATTTTCAGTTTAAAACATTTAGTAAATATTACGCTTTTACTAATTATGTTTAATAAAAAAATATATAATATTA